AGTAGTCTTCAGCTCCTTTGCCCTTGCCAAATGTCTGCATGGAGGGGAGGCCAGGTGGGTAGAGTGGAGATGCTTGCTTGGGGGTCACTGGGTGAACCCTCACAGGTCCCCCAGACTCTGGGATCCTCAGGGTCACCACAGGGCCAGATAATTTCCATCCCTTTGGGTTTTCAAAACCTTGTCAGTCTGTTCCTTTTAGAGTGGGCACTGGGTCAGGTTAGGGCTGTAGGCAACTTGTCCCAGAGGGTGAAGTTGTACTTGCACAGAGGGGAGGCAGGCAGTGCTGCTGAATGGGCAGCAAGGCTGGTCTGGGCATAGACTGGCATTTGGCAGCCTAGTCATCAGCCCAGAGCAGAACCTCTGCCCAGGCCCCACCCCATGAGCTGTTGGCTGCCTGCCTGCCACGTGCCCAGGATTGCTGAGGGCTTTGCTCATGGATCTCAGGCACAGCTGCATGCCGGAAACTGGGGGCTGGAGGCGAGCAGGAGGGGTGTCAGCAGAAGGTATAGGGGAGGCCGCTCCCAGCTCTGGCAGAATCTGGCACACTGCAGATCCTGGACTCTGAAGGCAGTTGATGCAGAGAGGGCCTGGAGTAATGACATGGGGAAGAGGATCTTCCCGGGCATTTCCAGGGGCTATTGCTGGCTCACCTGGTGACAGGACTGGGCCTTGCAGGGTGGTGGCCTGTTCCTTGGACTTCAGTTGGAGAAAGAGCTTGGACTTGAGGCTGGAGAAGCGCCAGGCTTTTGTGACAGCACAGCAGCCTGTGCACCATGGGGTGCAACTTGGCACAGCCCATGGGGTTCAGAGCCTATGTCCACGGGTGTTTAGCCCAGAGCAACTCTAAAGAGGCCCTGGGGCCTGTGTGATCAGATGCTCATGTCAGCACAGTTGATTAGGCCTTTTGGAAGTGGCTGTATTTATTTTTATTACTTGTTTATATCCTGCTGGGTTCCCAGGGAGTGACAACAGCACACGCACACAGCACAGTTGTGTATTCAGCAGGAGGGCCAGGGTTTTCTTTCCTTTTAAAGGCACTGTTCATTCCTCGCTTCCCTTGAAGAAGTGCTTCAGTGATCTTTGTGTGGCTTGTGGATGCTCTCTGTTTCTGAAGATTTGGTATACCCCCCCTAAAAAAATAAAGCTCATCTCTGGCTTAATTCACAGACAGCAGTGAGCAGAGAGCTTATTGGAGGTTTTAAGTATGATCTGACCCCTGGTGACCTGCTGCAGGGATACTTTCTTAAAATGGGTGTTGGTGATGTAGGGAGCAGGTCAGGACAAGCTGGCCCAGGGCCCATGGAGTGGGAAACAGTAGCTGGAGCTGTCCCACGGCTGAGGGCCCAAAGAGCCCTGGTCAGTGAGGAGGCCAGCCCGCCTGCCTCCCTGAGAGTGGTAAGGCCTGGCTGCTCTCAGGCCTCACCGGGAGGAAACTGGATGCTTGCCCCTCCCTCTCGCCTGGGCCTTGGGCAGACTCCAGAAAGGACAGTGGAGGAAAGTGGGAGATCATCCCTGCCGGGGGCTTGAACTTTTATGCCATTGACTCCTGTGGGTGTTTGCTGGGAAGAGTGGCAGAGTTTGTTTGAAGAGAGTCTGTATGTCCAGCTGCCGTGAGGATGGTGGCCACCCCTGCTCATGTGTGCTGCCCCGCTACCGGGCACCGGGCGGAGTGCCTTCCTGTTTAATGAGAGAGTGAGGCCTGCCAGTTCTTTGTCGTTTGATGAGAGCACAGTACTCACTCAGGCTGCTTGTGCAGACTACATATTGGTCCCTGTCTCCATGCTGCTCCACTGTTCAGTGGGTTCAGGGTGCAGGTTCACAACACAGGTTCGCTGTGTGTGCTGAGTCCCATTTCTAATGAAAGTAGACTTTGTTCTCTGAAGGCAGCTAATCGTGCCCCATGGGCTGTAATCAGGGAGAAGGTATTTAATACGGGGCAGGTGGCAACAGGCGGCCTGTGCCGACTGGCAGATTGCAACATGACAGCTCGGAAGCTGTCGCCCCCTCTGCCTCCGCAGACACCCGGTGGAGGCTGTGCTCCGAACTGATAGTGAAGAGTGAATGCCGGGTGGTAGAGGAAAGAGGTGAGGCAGGAAAGCAACAATGGAGGGCCCCTTTCTGTCCTCAAGTCTTCATGGGTTGAGCAGGGCTTGCGGCCACTTGGGTGCCTCCCACAAAGTGCCTGCAGGTCCAGCCTGAGGTGCCCCCCTCCACATCAGGTTTTGCTGCCTTCTCCCTGGCCCCAGCTGCTCCTATAGTAGACCCAGCACTCGAGCTGGGTATTCTGTCACCTGCCGTAATTCCTTTGGGGATGGAATGGGATTCTCGCCTTAATTTCTAGACTATTCTCCAGGAACCTCGTGTCATGGAGACACCTGGAGCCAGCCTCCAGAGGCTGAGAGGCCGCACAGGCGTTCCTTGGCTGCTGCCTACTGTCATTGGCCCGTGGCCCACTCTGAGTTGGCCAGCTGCTTTTCTAGGGGGACCTTTCTTTCTCAGTGTGGGACTGGGAGTCTTCTGGAATTTCAGTATTCCAAGGCCGCCTGGTGAAGGAGATAGGGCTAGCAGCGGCCAGCGGATGGCCCTGTTCCCATCCAGTTCAGGGCTGCTTCTTGCCTTGCTGTCCCTGGGTCCCCCTCCCATCGCATTGCTCGCCTCCCCTCCCTGGGTCTGTTCTTGCCTTCCGTGTCATACTGCCAGTCAAGGGCAGTGAGCTGCCAGCCCACCAAGTTCCTGTCCAGCACTGCAGCTGTAGGTCCCTTGCAGCCTGGCTCTGGGGCTCTTAGAAAATGGTAAGAGTCAGCTGGAGCCTGAGGACTTGTGGACATAGCACAGTGTCCCTTGTGGTATTGTGCTGGGGACCCCACAGGCTGCTTGCTCCCCCTGCCTTCTCCTCACTGTGTCTCGGACATGTTGGGAGAGAACAGGTTCTGCTTCCCGTCACCCATCTGCCTCTCGCCCAGAGTCCTCATTCTCCCTGCCAGCCACACCCGCATTGTCCCGTTGGTTGCTAGCTCCATTCTCTCTGGCCAGTGAAGCCCTGGGAATGAATGTATCCCAGGGCTGGGGTGTGGAGACCTAAGATCAGGGTACGGTCGATGAGCTGTGGGATGTGTGGCAGCTGGAGCTAGAGCTGCAGGCATGGAGGAGACGGCAGCAGCACTCCTCACAGGTAGAATTCCCCAAGAGCTGAGTGTCCACAGGCTTTCTTGCCCACATATGGCTTGCTCAAATGGCCTACTCCCTGGAGGACAGTGTGGATTGTGGCAAGAGCCAGGGCAGGGAAGGAGAGGCTGAGGATGGAAGCAGGGTCTTTAAAGAGGTGATGGGGTAGGTGTTCCCCAGCTCAGAGGAGCAAGTGGAGGTGCAAGGAGGTCCTCTGTCTTCATAGAGAAGTGAGGGAGGCAAGGACAGTGCTGGGCTTCCCTGTGATTCTGTATGAAGAAGCTCTCAACTGCCCATAACCATTGATCTCAGGTCTTGCCCTACCCTGGAACTCCTATGTACCCTCCACGCCACATGCCCCTGAGCATTGGAACCTAGGAGCCCTGGCTAGCCTGGGATGTGCCAGACATGTGCCTCAGGCCATTGGAACCTTCCCCCTGGGGCCCCCTTGGAAAGGCCGCCCTCGGGAACCTTGGTGGGGACTTGTTTGCTTCCCCACACCCCAGGAATGTGCTGTCCTTTCAGGCCTGCCCAGATTCCTGTGCAGGGAGTCAGCCTGACCTAGCATGCTGCTCTTGCCCTGTGGGGACACGTCCTGCCTCCCCTTCAAGGGGTGGGAGCTGGCGATGGCGCGTGCCTGTGCTGCCACACCCTGGCCCTACCCTGCTCCCCACGCCAGGGACTGGCTGCCCAGACAGAAGTGGGGGACCGCTCTTGCCTTCCACCAGTCCCTCAGTTCTCGCTGCCGCAGGCCCTGTTGGAATGTGGCAGGAGTCACGGCCAGGGCATGTCCTAACAGTAGAACACAAGCTTCAGCCCGCAGGGCTTCCCTAGGCGCCCGGCTTGGTGCAGGTTGCCTGGCTGGGAAGAGATTGTTGCAGGGCCCAGAAGGCCACCTAAGGTTACTGCCTCCATTCCTCCCCTTGGTGGCTGCTGCCCCCGTGCCGCAGCCCTGCTTATTACAAGTCAGGGCTCTGTATGGTGGGGCCAACCTTGAACCTCACAATCAGGTCACGCAGTCCTTGGAGCCCCGCGTTCTGCCAGGAGCAGCACCAAGCCTGGAGCCCAGGTGTCCCCGCACCCTGGAATTGGGTTTTCTGTTCCAGGGTTTCTCATCTTTGGCACTGTTAACAATTTGCCTCGATAATTCCTTGCTGTGGGGACAGGGGTGTTTGTTGCGGGATGACTGGCCACATCCCTGGCATTGCCTTACTGGATGCCAGTAGCAGCCACCTCCCCGGTTCCCTTGTTTTAACAACTAAGAACATTCTCCAGGCATCCCTGACGGAAGGGGAGTGAGTAGTGCTGCCCTCACTAAGGACCACTGCCCTCAATTGCTGCCTGTCCAGCTCTCCTGTCCTGGCCTTGGCCCTGCCCATCACAGGCCCCCAGAGATAGTCTTTGGGCTCCTTGTGAACACTTGCCAGGAGTTCTCTCTCTAGCATTTTCTCTGCCCATTATTTTATGTTTCTACTAGGGTTTCTCTTGGTGTTCTCCTTTGCGTGTTTTGTTCCCCACATGTCTCGTGGCTTCCAGGACAGGTAGGGCTAGTGATAGGGCAGAATTGGCCCCTTTCCAGGATGGGGTACATGGTAAGCTGAGACCATGAACCGTGCACAGTGGCCTCTGGCTGGGATGGTGCTGTGGAGATGGGAGCTCAGTGCTCCCCAGCACCCTGCACCCACACCACTTTCCCCTCAGATTCCTTGTTCCATGGCCTGCCTTTCTGGCCCTCCCTGGGGAACCTTCCAAGTCCCAGACAGACAGCAGGCCTGTGGCACTGACGGACAGGTGGCCGGCACCTGGCTTTCATTTCTCCCCTTCTCTGGTTTCAGGATCTATTGGCCAGAGGAAGTGGAGGGGCCCTGGGATGCGGAGAGCTGCAGGCTGACGGCTGGACAGCGGAACTGTGCGAGCTGCCGACACAAACACGGTATGTCCCTGATGGTGCCTGGGCCCTGCTCTCACCTTTCTTCTTGGGATATTGCAGGGAAGGGGCAGCTAAGTATCTGCTCTTGGTAGAGGTCTCAGAGGCGTGGCTCTCAGTGTCTGTGGCTGGAGGCTTCTCCGGTTTGGAGAAGATCTTGGTTTAGGAGAACCTCCTCAAACCCTTACTTCTATTACCACCTTCTTCAACGGAGATGTGTTGCCCAAACACCTAGTGTTTTCCCTAATCCTCACAAGAACGCTGTGTAACTGGTGCTATTCCTGGCCGTTTCAAGTTAAGGACACTGATGCATGGAGAGACCTTTGAAGCCCACACGGGAAGGTGGGGCTGTTCTGCAGACTCCCTGCTCTGTTTTTGGGGTACGGCCCACTCTGCGTAGGTCCCTGCGCCAGGTCCTGTAACTCTCACCCTTCAGTTCCCCTGCTGATATCAAGTTTTCCGCTCTGGCAGGGGCACTGACACAATAATGTTATGTCCCTCTAATGGTCAGGCAGTGGCCCAGATGCATGTGTCTGGTGGCTCCCACAAGTATCTCCCTCCCTTTTATCATCCTTTTTCTTTTTGTAGTTCAAAAGACCTTTTGACCACATCTCTGAGGTTCATCCTTTCTTCCTTCCCTCTCCTTAGCAGGTGGTGGAGGAGCCCTCACCTCCCAGAATGACCAGTGCAGCTCCTGCTAAGAAACCCTACCGCAAAGCCCCACCAGAGCATCGGGAACTGCGGCTGGACATTCCAGGATCGCGGCTTGAGCAGGTCAGCAAGGCTGCACTCTTGCTCCTGACTGACAGGCATGGGGCATCTTGTTCACCTTGCTCATCTGAACTTCTGGCTCCCTGAGTTGGGCAGGTGGCATTGTTGATAACGGGTGTGCCATCTCCCAGTTGCAACAATGCTGACAGTGGGCAAAGGAGGCTCCCAGGAGCCTCCTGTGAGTGATTGTTCATGGCAGAGAGACCCAGCTCATGGCTTCAGCAGCCTATCCAGCTGAGGGGTCTTGGCCTGCTGAAGGCTGGGCCCATGGTCCTCCATAGGGGAGAAAATTTCTTCAAGCTGTAGGTCCTCTGGAGGCTGCTTGGTGATGGCTCTCTGACTGCTCCCTGCCAGACCAGCTTCCCTGTCCCCGGGAAGTGTGCCCTTCTGCCAGCTGTGCTTTGCTGGGCTAACCTTGGTTATTATGTGTGTACTCCCACCAGGGACCATGTTGGCTCCAGGCTCTGCTCTTGGGTGGCCTACAGTCAGCTGCCAAGCACATGCCACACTGGCTCTCCTCACTCAGGAATCTTCTTGGCGGGGCAGTGAAGGTTGCAGTGGGCTCCCCACCCCACTGCCACAGCTGCTCTCTCTTGCTCTTCATGGAGCATGTTCCAGGAATGAAACATGCTGGGCATCAGGCATGTCATGGCCCCAGTTAGTTTGATTGGGGACAGAAGTGCCAGGACTCTCCCATGTCATCTCAGGGAACACTAAATACAAATGCCAGCTGTTAGGCTGGGAGCTACCGGGGGGGGGGGGGGGGGCTGTGTTTTCTAGAAGCAGGAACTGAGGCTCTGGGAAGCTAAGGTTGTACAGTCAGTATGTGCCAGAACTGGGTCCTGGCTCCAGAGTCTGGGATCTGGGCCAGCGCCTCACATCCTGCCCATGATTGCAGTTCTGAAGCAGTCAGGCCCATGTGGAGAAGGCTCCTTAATGTGTCTGCTTGTGGCCGACTGAGCTCTGATTCTGGGACCCTGGCACACAGGGGGCTTGGAAAGGATGCGGCAGGACGGTAAAACCAATACAAAACCGATACTCCTGTCAGTCGGGATTGGCCCTGGGCACTCCTCACCCATATACTTGATGCTACTGGCAGAAAAGTCCAAAGTCTGCCCTTGTCTTCCCGCACCTGAATGACTGCCCTGCCTTAGCTATGTCCCTGAGGGCTGTGACAAAACTCTAACTCCAGCTCCACCTGACTTGCTCACTTTTCTGAAAGGCCTCTGCCATGCCTGTGTGGAGACAGGGCCCACAGGGAGCCTAGTGGACGGCTAAGAGACTCTCTGTGGGAGGTAACTTGAGCCCCAAGATCCTTTGGAAAATGGGTTCAGGATTAAGGGTGGAGGTTAGAGGGGACTCCTGAGTCTTGGATTTGGTGTGGGAGAGTAACTAACTGATGTATCTGGCCATGACTGGGTTGCTTCCACCTCTCTCTGCTGCCACGAGTCTTAGGACTTTAGGCATGGCCCTTCTCCTGGCTCCTTGGAGGGTGGGCCTGGTCCAGAGCTGAGCCTCAGGCTTCTGTCCTCTTTCCCCAGGAACCCCTGACTGATGCGGAAAGGATGAAGTGAGTATCTGTCACCTGAATGACTGCCCTGCCTTAGCTGTGTCCCTCATCACCTGGGCCTTTGCTAGGTTAGGTGAGGTGCAGGTTGGGCTAGAGTTTGGGGACCCTGAGAGAAGTGTTGAGGTTGCGGCTGCTCTGGCTAGGGCCCCTTCTTGGTCTCTGACTCCCGAGAGCACAGCGGCCCTCCTGTACCAGCTGCCCCCCATCGCCTTTCCATCAGCCTGTGAGGCCTCTGCGGAGGAGGGCAGTGCTGGGCTGGATTTCCAAGAGATGAATAATGGAGAGGCCTGGTTCTGTAGTGGGGAAACTGGAGCTGGGGGCTTGGTGGCTGGCTTGGACTGTAACCAGAGACAGCCTGAGCTGGACCCTCCTTGAGTCCTGTCTTGTCATTGTTTTGTGATACTGGGGGACGTTGGCCTGTCCCCCGCCATTCCTTCTATCTCTCCTCTAGTCCCAGTTGTAGCCTCAGGGCCAGCAGGCCTGTGAAAGCTGCTGTCCTGGACTCAGGCCATGGCTCCAGGGATCTCCTGCCTTCAGTTGCCTGTCCTCATGTCATCCTGAGCCCAGCATGCAGCTCTAGGGTTGGCTGTGTCTCTCAAGATTTATTTATTTGAAAGGCAGAGTGACAGACAGTGAGCTGTTCCATGGCTAGTTCACTCCTCAAATAGTCGCAATAGCCAGACCTGGTCAGCCCAAAACCAGGAGCTAGGAACTCCCTCCTAGCCTCCCACATGGGTGGCAAGGGCTCAGGTTCTTGGGCCATCCTCTGCTGCCTGCCTCTGTGTTGGTAGGGAGCTGGGTTGGAAGTAGAACAGCTGAAACTCGTATCTGCAATGTGATAGGGGATGTAAATGGCTGTACCATTTATCTCTATCTCTAATGCCTCTGTGCTCCTGACCCCACCTTGCCAGGCTCTTACAGCAGGAGAATGAAGAGCTTCGTCGACGTCTGGCCTCGGCCACCAGACGCACTGAGGCCTTGGAGCGTGAGCTGGAAATCGGGCAGGACTGCCTGGAGCTGGAGTTGGGCCAGAGCCGTGAGGAGCTTGACAAGTTTAAGGACAAGTTTCGCAGGTGTGGGAATGGGGTGTAGGGAGGGAGGAGTAACAGACTTCCACAGGTGGGCATCTCCTCAGTGACAGGAGGTCAGTGGAGGTGACCTTGGTAGTCATGGGCTTCTGATTAGAAAATGGGAGCTTCAGGAGGAGAAGGCCTTGCCCACTACCCTGGATGGAGGAGGGCCCAAGCGGAGCATGCAGAGCAGGATTATGACCTGAGGGTCTGCCTGTGTCCCTCGACAGGCTACAGAACAGCTACACAGCTTCGCAGCGGACCAACCAGGAGCTGGAGGACAAGCTGCACGCGCTGGTAACCTGGCCAGGAGGGCAGTCTGGCTGCACTGTGCTCACGGCCGCGCTGGGCTAGGACTTGGGGAGATGCTGTCCTGTCCTGGGAACCGGGGTGGAGAGGGGCGGGGGGGCCGCGGTGTGCTGTGCCAGTCGGAAACGCTCACACTGTTTCTCTTCTCTCCTCGTCTGCCCCTCATGCTGCCACCGTCGCTGCCGCACTCTCCTCTCAGGCCTCTCTTAGCCACAGCTGGATTTTTGCAGTTGCGTCTGAGTTTGTGTTTCCTCCCTTGTTCTGGCCTCCTCCTCAGCTGAGATCCGGGTCGCAGGCGCCCTGGCCATTTCCCCCCCACATCCCCTGCACCCCTTGTGTGCTCCTCCTGCTTCCCTTTTCCCTGTGTGAGGCCCGGCCAGTAGTCAGGGCCTCCCTCCAGGGAGGGAGCCGGGGCGCCTGCTCTTGGCTCTGGCAGAGCTACTGACTGATGTCACCACTGAACACTCACAGCTTTGCTGCCAGTGGAAGCCAGCCCAGCCATCTTGGGGGTTGGGGAGGCTGCGGATCAGAAGCCACTTTAGAACCTGCAGCTCCCTCCTGGACAGAGAGCTAATCTCCCAGGCGCCCCGGCTGCCACCCAGCCCGCCTCCCTCCTCCCAGCTTGATCCTGGAAGCAGCTGCACACATGGGCTTTAGTTCCCTAGCTGCCCTCAAAGGATGGGCAGTGCTTACACCATGAGTGTCCTGTGCCTAGGCAGCACTAGGTCATGCTCAGAGAGCACTAGGTCATGGCCGGAGAGCAGAAGTGCCCGGTCCCCTCCTGTCTGTCCATCATTTGTCTCTGTTTTGTCTGCCTTGGCTGCACCTGTGGCCTCTTGTCTGGGCTGGGAGGAGGCAGCATGTCCGGGGGACGGGAGGGAGGGGGGAAGGCAGGGCCCGCTGGGATGTGGGCCTGTTTTACCCCAAGTGTATCGCCAGATCAAGAAGGCCGAGATGGATAGGAAGACATTGGACTGGGAGATTGTGGAGCTGACTAACAAGCTGCTGGATGCGAAGAACACCATCAACAAGCTGGAGGAGCTCAACGTGCGTGCCCCTCCCCGCCCATGGCTGGCTCTGTGGCTGGCTTTGTTCTGGCTTAGTCGTGTTTCTTCAGGAGGGCCAGGCGTGGTTGTAACCCATGTGTGTACCTGCAGGAGCGGTACCGCCTGGACTGCAACCTGGCTGTGCAGCTCCTCAAGTGCAACAAGTCCCACTTCCGCAACCACAAGTTTGCTGATGTGAGTAGAACAGCGTTCCCAGTGCAGCAGCTCCTCCATCCCTGCCTGCACTTGTCTGTCCTTCTTGCAATACCCCATTTCCACCCAGCCGTCTCTGGCCTCTCCTCTCACACCAGTTAGCTCTGCTTCTGGCTGCTGGTCTGTGTGCTACAGTGCTGGGGCCTTGCCCTGTTGGTGCTCCTTAACTGAGATGGTGGGCACTTGGTGTGAGGACCCTTTGCAGGGGGCAGGATGTGGCCAGGGCTGTTTGCCATGAGTATTGAAGGGGGGTTAGGGCCACCCTATGCCATCACCCCAAGGGGAACCCCTTCGACTGCAGAGCCTCAGTTCCAAGGTTGCTGCAGCTGGCAGAAGGAGAGGTGTTTTGCAGGTGTCAGGTCGGTACCGAGTCTTAAGCCTTGGCCTGGCTTGGGCAGAGCCATCGCAGAGGTAGAGAGGAAGCAGCCTGAGGGTGCACAGGCCTCAGCGGCACATGCAGGATCAGATGCTGCTGTGCGGGTGGAGCCCCATGTGGCATGTTACCCCCAGCCTGTTGGTGTGTGTGGTGAGGTGCCCCTCTGGCTTGCCAGGGGTCAGGAGCTAACACACAGAGCTGGCGGCATGTGGGAGCCCTGACTCATCCTCTCTGGCTGGGAATGTTCATTGCTCTGTTTCTCCTTCTGCTTCATCTCAGTTGCCCTGTGAGCTACAGGACATGGTTCGGAAACACCTGCACAGTAGTCCGGAGGCAGCCAGCCCAGGCCCTTCTCCCAGCCCGGCCCCAGGAGCCGTGGTACCCACATCAGTCATTGCCCGGGTACTGGAGAAGCCGGAGTCTCTGCTGCTGAATTCAGCCCAGTCTGGTAGTGCTGGGCACCCCTTGGCCGAGGACGTCTTTGTGCACGTGGACATGAGTGGGGGGGCCTCAGGTGAGCCTGCCAGTCCCCTGGCCCCTGGCAGCCCCGCCCTCCAGCCCAATGGAGAGTGTCGCTCTCTGGGCACTACCGGTGGTTCCCCAGAAGAGGAGTTGCCCATGCCAGCTTTTGAGAAGCTGAGCCCGTATCCTACCCCATCACCTCCACACCCACTGTACCCTGGTCGCAGGGTAATAGAGTTCTCGGAGGATAAGGTGCGCATTCCCCGCAACAGCCCCCTGCCCAACTGCACTTACGCCACCCGCCAGGCCATTTCGCTGAGCCTTGTGGGGGAAGGCAGTGAGCGGGCCCGCCCCAGCCCGGGGCCTAGCAGCCCTGCCTCAGCCCAGGCCTCGCCCCACCACCACGCCAGTCCAGCACCCCCAGTCCTCAGCACTCCAGCCAGCTCCGCAGGCTCCGAGGAGGACCTGCTGGCCAGCTGGCAGCGGGCATTTGTGGAACGCACCCCACCACCTTCCGCCGTGGCCCAGCGCACAGCCTTTGGCCGGGACGCACTCCCCGAATTGCAACGCCACTTTGCCCTGAGTCCCAGCAACAGTGATGAGGTGGTTTTGGCTCCTAGCTCTCCACCCAATGGGACTGGGCTTTTGCTCACCATGGAACGGGATTCTGGATTCCTCCATGAGGAGGAAGAGGAAGAACTCAACCTGCCCATCAGCCCTGAGGAGGAGTGCCAGAGCCTGTTACCCAGTGACAGGGACACTGGGGAGGGGCCTGGGCCTCTTCCCAGCTCCAGCCGGCCCCAGCGTAGCCCCAAGAGGATGGGGGTGCACCACCTGCACCGCAAGGACAGCCTGACCCAGGCCCAGGAGCAGGGCAACCTGCTCAACTAGGGCCGCTGGTGGCCTTCCTCACTGCTGCACTGGGGCTGCCTGGGGCGCTGCACCCAGAGCTCGGGGGCCCAGCCCCCAAGCCCCTCCGTCTTCGCACTGGCATAGCCCTGTCGCCTGTGTGAGTTGGGTCAGGTAGCGGGCCACACCAGGCCTTCAGCTGTACTAACTGATTGGCACCAGCTTGCCTCATTCATGGTTTTTCCTTGCCTTTCTGGAATATTCATTCTCCAAAGGTGACGTGCGGTTGTTGGCAAGCCGCTCTTCCCGTGAGCCCACCTCAGGTCGCTCTGCGCCGGGAGCTGAGGGGTTATCAGTGTTCATGCTCCACCCTCCCTTTGTGATCATGGACTTTGGTTTTGGGGGGAATGTCATTGGGGTTACTGACCTCTGATTTGTTTTTGACTGTCCCTCTGCCCTGAACCCTCCACCTGAGTTGTTGCCCTCAGGGGGCCTGGGCTGGCTGGCTCAGGGATGTGGGAGGCCCAACTTGGGGCTCCCCTCAGCTGCCTCCCTCCTGCCCTCTGTAAGGCAGGCTCTGGGCGAGGCCTGGCCTCCTCCCGGCCTTGGCTCTAGACTGTTACTCCCAGCTTTGGGAAATTTTCACGTGAATGACTATTTTAAAATCAAATAAAACTATTTTGCTGGTATTTGTCCTAAAGGCCTTGCCTCTTCCACCCTTGTCCCCACTTTCCAGGTTGCCACTCCTTGCCACCTTGTGGGCTCCGCTGGTGACTATTGCCTGCCTCTTCCCTGGGCACAGAGAATCGGGCAGTAGGGGAAGGGACACCTCAAGTAATCTAAGGACCCACGAGTCTTCCTTTGGTTGTAGCATCCAGTCCATCCCCACTTGTGGGAGAGCTCTTCAGTTGCCTTGTGTAAGGTGTGGCTGTGGAACCCCAGCATTAGATCTGGCCCAGGTCTGAGTGACAAGGACCACCCCCTCGGGCTGCCTGCAGCTTGGGGTGTGGGATAATACTGCCCTCTAGTGGTACTTAGTGGTAGTACGGCTCGCACACTCCAGTCCCCAGTGACCACAGTCAGCCAGGTTGTAAAGTTCATAAAATCTCTTCCGAGCCAGCGGGTTGCAGCCAGAGCTGCTGACAAGTCCAGAGGCATTGCCCTGGGTTCTAGTGTGCTCCCTCCTCCAGGGCTGTCGTGCAGTCACAGCTTCCAGAGCCGCCCTCCCCCCCATAAACACACACACACACACTGCCAAGAGCTGCCAGAGCCCTGGGCGCCCCTTCCCCAAGGGCCTGGCCCTGTGATCCAGGGTGAGGTGTTGGGGACACACAGACAAATGTTAACAGTGCGTAGAAGCTGAAGTGGAATGTCACATCTCAGTCTCCGCCAACAGACTGTCCCCTAGTCCTGACGTCATGAGCACCATCTGAGAGCTGGGATCTGTGGGCGGGCAGAGGCGTAGTAAGACTCCACTCGTGGGGACCGCAAGTGGGTGGGCGCTGGCCTCGTTTCCCCACTGCCACCCTTCCTCCCAGGCCTGGGCTTTGGCCAAACCCTCTGGCTGTTTACCGCTGGGGCACCTCCAGGAGCTGCTGCCCTGATGGCGGGCAGCAGCAGGCTCCCGTCCTTTCTCCCATTCCTGGGTGTCGCCAGTCCCTCCTGCCACCTCCTCCTCTTCCTCGCCCTCGGAGAGGAGATCACAGATCTGCTGCTGGAGCTCGGGACTGATGCTGTTCTCTGCCAACACCAGGCTCCGCAAAGCCGTCGGGTAATTTTCTACCATGTCCAGCAAGGTCTGGGGTGAGTGAGACAATGGGAAAGGATGACCACGGTTAAGGCCAATCTAAACCCCTAGCAACCATGGGGGGCGGTGTGCATGGTCCCTTCCGGGTCCTCCCAGGGACAGGAACCTTCTTACCTGAGCTGATTGATTGGTAAGCCCTGTGCCCTCCAAGTCTAGCACCTCCAGGGTGCGGCTAGAAGCCACGGCCACAGCTAGCATCCCTGCCACATGGTCACCTGTGGAGGTAGCATGCCTCTTAGCATTCCTGGGTAGCTTTCCCAGTGCCCTAAAACCTTCAGGCCCTATCCCAGCCTGGAGGGCGGCTCTGTCACTGGGAAGTTAGGGGGACAAAGGCCTGCCCAGCCATGGTGACAGAAGCAGCATAGATCCACCTGGATGGTCTTTTGTTACCTCCTAGGCCCCTGGGGAGCTCCCATTCTCTTCCCCCCATCTCTGGTGGGGGGTTCCTATGGCATTACACCGTCCTAGGATGGTAGAAACGCAGGGCAGGGTGAATGCTTAAGTTTTGAGCCTCACCCAGGGGGTTGTAGTCCAGATTGAGGACGCGGACCTGGGAGCTGTGGGCCACGGCAATGGCGAGGCGGCTCCAGCCCTTAGGGGTGATGCCAGGGTTGGCACTCAGCGTCAGCTCCTTGAGGCCTGGGCAGCAGCACAAGAAGCCAAGATGGGGAGGGTTAAGCTTCTCCCTCACCCCAGGTCTCTTGGGTGTTCCTAGTAGTTAGGGGACACCCCACCAAGCCACTCAGAGCTCCAGAGTCCATTCGGAGTCCTGCTTCCCCTGCCTGTCCCAGCCTTGCCACCGCTTTCCCCTTCCAGACCCTGAGGAAGCCACGCCCCCTCCCTGCAGCACTTGCTTCTCCACCCCCAGGCCCTGAGCAGAGCCCTGCTCACCCGACTTGGCTCCATCTGGGGGCAGCAGGCCACAGATGAGGTTGATGGCTTCATCACCCAACATGCAGTCCCCTAGGTCCAGAGCCACTAAAGCCGGGTGCAGGGCCAGGGCCGGGTTCAGCAATGCCAGCCCCGCGTCGGTGAGGGGGCTTCCGTGCAGGCTGCAGGAGTGAGGGGAAGAGAGCAAAGATTTGCAGCGATGAGCCCCGTCTGTAACTGGAGGGCATTTCCCACGCGGACAGCTCAGAGACAAAGCACGTGCTCGGACAGGGTGCAGGCGGGGTGGGGAGACACAGGGCAGGGGTGGTGTGCAGGTGGACTGGAGGAAAGACAGGTGCAGGCGGGTGTGTGGAGGAACCAGAGGCGGCAGGAGGCGTGGGCGGAGGGGAGCGGGCAGCGCTCGGGACCCTCTGGCCAGAGGGCGCACTCACAAGAGGGACTGGATGGAGCGGTTGGTCCTCAGCGCTTCTGCCAGCTGCTTGATGCGGCTGGGGCTGGACACGACACCCAGATTAAGGTTGAGCTGCGCCAGGGACGTGGCTCCGGCCAGCGCCCGGCAGATGCGGCCAAAGTCGCGGTCACAGAGGCGGCAGCCACGCAGTGAGAGCAGGCGCACGGCGTTGTCGCGCAGGCCGCGGCAGATGTCCCGCACCTCGGCGCCCGACAGAGGTTCTCCCGATATCTGAATGGAGCTGGGCAGCATCGTGTCCGCGGCCAGGCCGTAGCCCGGGACGAGGCCTGGGTCGCGGTCCCCCGCTGCGGTGGCGGCCGGAGCGGGGCGGGAGGGCGAGGCGGAGGCTGCGGCAGACGCGGAGGCGGCGGGGGCGGAGGCAGAGGAGCGCGCCGGGGCCGGAGCCGGAGCCTGCCGGGGCTGCGGAGGCGCCGAGGTCGCGGACGGGCCGAGGCCGAGCGGCGCCCGGGCGGGAGCGGACCGAGCTGTCCGCGTCTGGGCTGCGGGCGGAGGCGCGCGGTCCCGCGTGTCCTCGTCCCTGCCGGGTGCAGTGGCAGTGGCGGCGGCTCGGGACGAGAAGGACGGGTTCTCCCTCGGAGGCAGCGCCCGCTGCCGGCGTCTCTCCGGCCTGGCTCCCCCTGCCGCCCCGGGGGCCGGGCCCGCGGCTCACCGGAGCCGGGAGCGGGCAGGCCGGCGGCGGCGGCAGCTCCGGCCTCAGCCCCTGCGCCGGAGCGGGCGGCGGGTTCCCATGGCAACGGGCGCGTCACCGCCGCTCGCCCCGCCCCTGCGCGGCCTAGGGCGGCTCGCGTGGATCCGACAGGGGCTTGGGAGCGGCGGGACACACCTTTCCAGTGTCTGGGGACACACAGCAGGTGGAGAGAAGCGGGGCTGGACACCGAGGACTGAGGACGCGCGGGGATTAAAGCCTGTCACCTGGAGACGGTGTGTGGAAATGTTGCCGGCGCATCCTCCGATTGTCACTCATTTCTAAGGTCCAGACCGGTGGCACGTGCCCGGGGATCTCGAACACTCCCATTCTTTCCAAAGCCTCAACCTTCCCTTCTGGCCGTGCCCCGCCCCCTTGTGACGGGAGGTGCTCAGCTGCGCGGTGATTCCATTCCCCAGGACTTCCCTGCCCACTCACTCTGGGGCCAACATGGCAGGCTCGCTGAGCTGGGCAATCCGAGCTGCCAGAACACGAAACCCCATCGAGTACTGCGGGCAGACGAGCCTCGTGTAGATGCTGTTCCTGGGTTGGCCTCATCCCTAGTGCGATGCACAGGGCACAAGGAAAGAGGGGCCCAGGGTAATCCACCTGGAGCTGTGGGGGGGACCGTGCGAGGCAGACGTAGGTTCATTTCCCAAGGATTTTGTCCACCAGCTCTGGTGGCAGGGGCCTCACCCTCACATGTATACCACAGGGAAAATACAGGATACTTACTGGGATAATCTCAGTATTGTTTTTTGAAAGGTAGAATGACAGGAGTCATAGATTTCCAGCAGCTGGTTCATGCTCTCAACACCCCCGCTGCCATGGGCTGGGCCAGGAAGAGGTCAGGAGCCAGGAATCCTAGCCTGGCCTCCCACGTGGGCAGCAGAGGCCCAGGCACTTGGGCCATCGTCCTCTTCTTCCTGAGCTGAGGCCCATTAGCTGGCTCCCAGTGGGACAGTCAGGATTCCTACATCAGCAGGCACTGTGATGTCACATCCGGGGCCCCTGAGGATTTTTTTGAGCAATAGTAAGGACAGCAGAGGTCAAAAGCACATTTTTTTTTTTTTAAAAAGATATGAAAAGCAGTGACAGATCTCCCACTCAGCAGTTCATTCTAACAGGAAGGGCTGGGCCAGGGTGCAGCCAGGAACCCGGACCCAGGTACCTGAGCCGTCCTCTGCAGCTCCCCAGCAGCACTGGCAGTGAGCTGGATTGGAGGCTGAACCACCTGCACCCAGACACAGGATGCAGGAAACCAAGCCTGTGCCCCAAGACCTCTCTCCCCTGCTTGCCAAGTGGAAATGACTTTTGGAAGCAAACAGCATCCTCCACAGGGCAGGGAGGGCAGAGACGGGCACTGAAGGGGGCTGCCTCTTGTACCACCCTAGCCAAGCCAACTTTGGCTTCAAGTGTGAGCTGTGCTGGAAAAAGAGCCCCACCATGGCCCATGCACAGGGGTTTCTGGTCATAGGAAGCTTTGATCTGGAAGTTTTTGTCCATTTGTCACTGTGCCACTGGCTCTTCCAGATGGTTTATGAGTTGAGGTAGACCGGTGCACTGTCGAGTTGGTGTGACAGTTCTTGGACTGGAAGCTGCCTTCCTGCGCGGGGACCAGGCACCCCCTTGCCTGGCCCTTGGGGCCAGATTGTAGATTCTGTCTCCATGTTCTACGTACCTGGCCTATCCCACCTTCATCCTGCCTAAGTCGGCGTGCGTAGAAGGGAACGTGCGGCCTGGGAAGGGGAAAAGGTACAGGAAGTAGGGTGAGAGGGAGGGCTGTGGGAATGGCAGCCACAGTTCCGGACTTTAATCAGTGTTTTAATTACCAGTCTATATTTAGCAGAACAAAGTGGGAGCACTGAGGAGAGAGGTGGAGTGGGTGGGGAGGGCCTCGGAGGGGCTGCCCCACTTAATGCACTGGCTGCATGGCCTGGCAGTCCTGGCCAGAAGTGCCCGGCCTTGTGCCCTCCAGAAGCCCTGCCAGGTGTCAGGGGGTACTTGGGCAGCTCCGGCTTCAGCAGCAGCTGCACAGCCCATCAAAGAGACACGTGTCATCGGTGCCGTCCTTTCATCTTCCTCCACTCCACGTCCAGAGGAGAGGCGGCTGGCCAAGGACTGCGGTCAGGGTCACTGTGACTGCAGGGCCACAGCCACGGCCTTGGCTGTGGCATTGAACACAGCAACAGGAAGCTTGACTGTAGGCAGAGCGGCAGGGATGTCCCTGGGGACTCTCTGGATGGGTGGGACATTGGGGCCCTCCAGTGTGTCCAGGATACCTGCGAGAAGAATGGAAGATGAGCGTGAGTCGGCTGGGCCTGGCCTGCTGCCTGGGCCCTTACTGCTCTGCCCCCGTCTTGCTCTGGGCCCTCTGGCCACTTACCCTCCACCACCTTATGGTAGGCAAAATGCAGATACAGCAGGAAGAGCATGTGCAGGGCTGCCAGGGTGCCACAGAGGAGTAACCGCTGGGTGGGACCCACCGTCCGGGACACCAACACTGCCACCTAGGGCCATAGGAATACAGCCTGGAGGGCCTCTTCCCCCAGGGGACATGGGGAGACCATCCTCCAACCTGAAGCATCTCTGGGCCCTTCCCTCCTGTTCAGAGCCTGCTGGAGGAGGGCAAGCTCTGGACAGGCTTCCTTGTTCCCGTCCCCCTTGCCTAAGTCCCAGCTTACCATGCGCAGGGTGGACAGCCCCCCAACCAGCAGCCAGAAGAGGTAGAAAAGGGCATGCAGGTGGATGTTGTAGGTGATGAACAGGACAATGCAGTGCCCGAAGAGGCCGTAGCCCTGGCAAGAAGGTAGGGAGGACACGCACTCAGCGGGGCTGGCCTTGGGCCCTTGCGGAACTCTGGGAATGAGTGGTTCACTGCCCCACCCTCCCACTTTAAGATCACCCTCACCCACCCCTGTGGCTGACTCCTTACCAGCAGTGCCAACATCTGCAACATGGTGATCTGGGCGTTGCACAGGTAGGCAAGGAAGTAAATGAAAGACGAGACACCCAGCCAGTAGCCGAAGCAGGTGCCAATGGCGGTGCCCATGAGGGTGCCCTCCCGCTGTGGGGCAAAGACTCCACTGAATGCTGGAAGGTCTGTGAGCTCAGCTTCACCTGCCTCCTTCACAGGGGCCCCCTCTGCCTCACCCCAAACCCCACCTTGGTGGACAACCGCCGCCACCTCAGCCCCCACTGGGCCTACCCTCTGCCCCAGGTCCCAGGTCAGGCTTACAATGATGGTGTCAGATGTCTTCATCCCATGGAGCAGGATGGCGACCAGTGTGAAGACGAGCATGAGAGGGCCATAGAGTTCACCAGCGATTTTCTGTCAACATACCAACTAATTCAGGCCACTGGCTCCGCTCTTCCCAGGCTTGGCCTGGCAGCAGCCTCCCACCTCTGCCCCAGGACCACCGCCCCCTCCCTCTTCTCCCCTTCACCTGGGGGAAGTTGACCATCTTGATGGGGATCATGGACTCCAGGAGCCTGAGAGGCGAGAGGAGAGACGCCAGCTGAAGCAGCGCTAGGCTATGGGGTTGCAGAGGGCAAGGCTCTCTAACTCCAGGGGATGGGGTCTGGCCCCGAGGACATGCTGGATGACACAGGGAGAAAAGGGTCACAAAGGCTGAGAGGAAACCACTTCCTTGCCTCTAGAGGTACTTCCATGAAGGACAGCCCTCAGTTGCAGCAGCTGTGGGGAGAAAAGCAAGGAAAGGCAGCACCAAGGGAGCCAGTGCGCCCCCTACCGATTACACCAGGGTAGTGGTGAGCACCCTTTTTATTTTTAAAAATATTTCTCTTTTTTTCTTTTTAAAGATTTATTTTATTTTTATTGGAAAGTCAGATTTACATAGAGGAGGAGAAACAGAAATAAAGATCTTCCATCTGTTAATTCACTCCCCAAGCAGCTGCAACAGCTGGAGCTGTGCCAATCCGAAGTTAGGAGCCTAGAGTCTTTTGGGTCTCCCATGTGGGTGCAGGGTCCCAAAGCATGGGGCTGTCCTTGACTGCTTTCCCAGGCCACAGGCAGGGAGCTGGATGGCAAGTGTGGCTTCCGGGATTAGAACCGGCGCCCATATGGGATCCTAGTGCATTCAAGCAAGGACTTTAGCCACCAGGCTACCATGCTGGTATGGCAGGGCATGGGTCTGGTTATGGTTTGCGGGAACGAGTGGGGCTTAGGAGGATTCGCACCTGCTGCGCACCTGGGCGGGCTCCACGTCGAAGTAAGGTCTCAGGATGTCGATGTTGGCATACAGGCTGAATGCTCTGGAAGCTTGTCTCTTCCCCGCCTGCCACATCTGACGGAGAAGCAGGTGTGCCTGGTCCCACTCCTGCTCCTGGCTCCCCCCTGCCCCAGGAGGCTCACTCCAGGGCAGCCTGAGGTGACTGCTCCAGAGACAGGGGCTGCCCCCGCTGAGGGTTCAAGCTGGCTTACCTGGTCAGCCACCTGCCGACTCAGCTGTCCCTTAAAGCCCTTCATGCCCAGGAACTCGCCCTCTTCTTCCTCCGCGGCAGCCGCATCGGCGTCCACTTCTTCCTCGCGCAGGCGCTGATGCAGCTCGCCCATGTCCTCAAAGCTGGAGCCCGAAGTGTCATCCATGTTCTCCATGTCGATCACGGCCGATCCCCTGCCCTGGAGAAGACCACAGGACCTTCCTGCTCCCTGTGCCAGCTCCTCAACTCAGCCCCTCTTTGCTCTCAGAAACCAACCCTTGGCCCCTGGCTGCAGACTCCAGGCGCTCCTTTCCAGCCTGGGGAACCTGCGAGTTGATTTCCATGTACCTTCCCAAAGCAAAGCTGTGCTAGGGCCCCTTGCTTCTGTCTTTGCAACAGTGTATTTCCAGCGAGTGCCGGCGCCTCCCGCAGCAGCCCTCACCACCTCCCGCCTCGGGCCCAGCCCTGCCGCCGGGGCCAGCACTGCTTGTAGGAAAGGGGACAAACGTCCTGCAGATGGAGTGGACCTTCAGGCCCTGAGGGAGAAGCTTCAGGACGGGGGTCGGTCCTAGGGAGTGTGGTGGAGTGGGGGAGATATCATCACCTGCATGTTTTCTTCGAACCCTGCCCATTCCGGGCCTGTCCCGTTTCGAGCGCCGCCGGCCGGCGCCGCCGTGGCTGCCATGTCCCTGGAGGGCTCCCGTCGCGGAAAGCCGCGCCGCTGGCCCCGCGAACCGAGGGAGAGTGGGCAGCGGGCCGGAGGACTGCAGAGACGTCCGGAGCGCCGGAGGAGCGCGACCACTAGGAACCTTCACGGGGCAAAAAAAAAAAAAGACACCCGGATGTTTGGCCCAGACTGACTTCCGGAAGCTGCGGACGTGGCCGGGAGCGGGGCAGAGCTCTCGCGATAGGTGAGGCTCCGGGAGGCGGCGCGTTGCCACGGAGACGGAGAAAGGCTGCTGGAACGCACGCGTCGGTGAGGCCGCCGTGGGAGAGCCAAAATGGCGGCGGCGCAGGCGGTGGAAGAAATGCGGAGCCGCGTGCTTCTAGGCGAGTTCGGGGTTCGCAACGTAAGGCTTGTGGCCCGGAGCTCAGGAGGAAGATTGAGAGGGACGGGTTGGGCTTACGGTGCTGACGGCCTTGGCCTCGCCGCCTGTTCATGGACCTAAGGACCCGTGTCTCCTCAGGTCCACACGACTGACTTCCCCGGTAACTATTACGGCTATGACGACGCCTGGGATCAGGAACGCTTCGAGAAGGTGAGAGGGCCGGGGGCTCCTCTCGGGGTTCGCTCGCCTGGCAGACCGTTTCCTCTAGTCTGCGAGCATGGGCTGGGCGCTGCGGGCTCGGGCCAGGTCCTGCCGGGCTTCTACCTCGTGCTGACATGAAGATCTTAGCCATGCTGGGGGGATAGCGCGTATCTGCAGAGGATTCTAGGAATGTGCCAGAGGTGTTTGAGAGACACAAGGACGGGCGGTGCTGGGGCAGGACTGCGAAAGGGGCAGACATTTTTAAGGTGTCGTAAAGCACGTGGTCTCCCAGCCGAGCCTTGAACGGTAGTGGAAGGCTGCAGAGGGGCCTGCTTCTGGAATGTGCAGTTCATTATTGTTACGTTACAGTGGCCTGAGTGGAAGGCACATTTGGAGTGCATGGTAGGTAGCATGGGTGATCTAGAGTTCTAGAAGGTTCTTGAGCAGACCCGGTCAGATTTGGAGCCTTAATGTTGGAGAACCATGGTCTGTTGGATGGTGTAGGGGAACAGGATGATGATGGCTAGGGAGCAAGGTAGGTGGGTAGACACTGGCCAGTGCCTTGGTAAGGCCGACAGGGCCTTCTGTCAGGGAAACGGATTTTATGGATAGTGGTGTCATTTACAGATTGTCTGAAAGGAAGATCCATTTGGCACCCTGAGCTTTGGTGGGGCCGGGAGGCCACCAGACTGAAGTGAAAGCAGAAGGGGGTTGTGCATAGTGCTTGCGAGAAACCAGGAGTGTGGTTGAGGTCACTTGGGAGAGACAAGAACACTGAGGCTGTGGGTGGAAGCAGATATGGCAGGCAGGGTTAGTTCTCAGAAACCAAGGAACTTGAGCATGGAAGGTTTTATTTATTTATTAATTTTGATAATCTTTACATAGTTGATTAGGGCACAAAGGGTCAAGGGCTACAGGAAAGTGGGTAAGACCATTGTTTCCACATTATTTTTTTCTGTACCTGGGATAAGGGGGAAGATAAAGGGAAAAGCCCCACCCAGCCTCCCACCTATCCCAGGTCTCCAACATGGGGCATGCTCCAGGAATCTTGCTCAAGTGGTTTTGATAGTTCAATAATTCTGATTTGCTGCCAATCTAGAGACAATGGAGGGTTTTAAATGATCAATAATCCAATGCCAAATGCAACGGGTGTGAGGTAAGAAAAGGCCTGGGGACTGTCAGCAGGACCACACTCACTGGAAGTTTCTGTTCTTTCATAAAACATCAGCTTCTGGCAGAAGGCATACTGCATAGTGGGAACACAAAACCAGGGACACTTTCCAAGAAGTCTCCCCCCCCAAATAGAAGAAAACGCCTGCTGAGGGTTTTGTGGGTAGAGAGGGTTTTGGGTAAGAGAGGCTGTTAATACTGAGTATGGGGTTGTGGAGAACTCCCAGTAAGAGTGTCCTTCATTTCCTTGTTTCTGCTTTCCCTCTAGAATTTCCGTGTGGATGTGGTGCACATGGATGAAAACTCACTGGAGTTTGACATGGTGGGAATTGATGCAGCCATTGCCAATGCTTTCCGCCGGATTCTGTTGGCTGAGGTACTAGGCAGGAGCTGTGACCAGGACCATCACCTCCACCTGTGGCTATCTCAAGTTGCCCTCTTTTTCCTGCTGAGGTTTTGCAAAGTTTTTTTTTTTTTTTTTCTTCTTCTTCTTTGTAAACTTTTCCTTAAGCATTCTCTGGGGAGCTGTGTGAGGCAGTGAGGAACCCATGGGGCTGTTGAGCAGGTAGATTCTGTCTCTTGGAGCAGGTGCCCACCATGGCTGTGGAGAAGGTCCTGGTGTACAACAACACATCCATCATGCAGGATGAGATCCTTGCTCATCGCCTGGGCCTCATTCCCATTCGTGCTGATCCTCGCCTTTTTGAATACCGGAACCAAGGTGAGGACCAGAGAGATGACATGTGGGGACAAGTGGAACAGCTATTTTCCTGGAGTCGATTCTGGAAGGAGCAGCCTGGGTTTGAGTCCTGGGATGACTTGTGTGTGGTCTTGCGTGAGTTTTGGGCACAGCTGGCAAACATATGTATGTGCCCTGGCCTACCTAGATTGGTGGGTAGGGTGAGAGGTGCACGGTGCATGGCACTGCTGTCCCTGCTGTGGCCAGAGCTGCTCCTTCCCTCTGCAGGAGACGAGGAAGGCACTGAGATCGACACTCTGCAGTTTCGGCTGCAGGTGCGATGCACTTGGAACCCCAAGGCTGCTAAGGATTCCTCCGACCCCAACGAACTCTATGTCAACCACAAGGGTCAGTAGGCAGTAAGGAGGAAAGCCTGCTGTGGCTTGGTGGCTGTCTGGCCTGTGGCTGATGCTCTCCAACTTGTTTCTTTCCAGTTTACACCAGGCACATGACGTGGGTGCCCTTGGGGAACCAGGCTGACCTCTTTCCGGAAGGCACCATCCGGCCAGTGGATGATGACATCCTCATTACCCTGCTGCGACCTGGCCAAGAGATCGATGTACTCCTGCACTGTGTCAAGGGCATTGGTAAGAGCCCCCGCCCGGGCTGTCTGTCTTGAGCACTGGATATATAGGTTATTGCTGCAGGGAAGGGTGGACAGGCAGATGGACAATGGGCTCGCACTCCTGCTGCAGTGACCTCCTGATCTGACCCTCCTCACCCTCACCCGCCCCTAAGGCAAGGACCATGCCAAGTTCTCACCGGTGACCACAGCCAGTTACAGGCTCCTGCCAGACATCACCCTGCTGGAGCCCGTAGAAGGGGAAGCTGCTGAGGAGCTGAGCCGCTGCTTCTCACCAGGTGTGATTGAGGTACAGGAAGTCCAAGGTATGGTATTTAGGGCGCTGTTCAGGTCAGGACTCAGGGTGTGATTTCTGTGAAAGTAGATGGGGCTTTGAGATGTAAGTATACACAACTTTTTATTAGGCAAGAAGGTGGCCAGAGTTGCCAACCCCCGGCTGGACACCTTCAGCAGGGAAAGCTTTCGCAATGAGAAACTGAAGAAGCTTGTACGGCTTGCCCGGGTTCGAGATCATTATATCTGTGAGTAGGAGTTGCTGGGGGCTGGGTAAGTACTGGGGGAGTCCTAAGAAGTTACAAAGCATCTCTTTGGTCCCCAGTTTCTGTTGAGTCTTCAGGAGTACTGCCACCAGATGTGCTGGTGAGTGAAGCCATCAAGGTTCTGATGGGGAAGTGCCGGCGGTTCTTAGATGAGCTCGATGCAGTGCAGATGGACTGAGTCCTGCACAGGAGCTGCAGTGTGATGGCTGCTTGGTCGACAGGGAGCCAAGCTGCAGGTTCTGAGCGACCCCTGTGGACTGCTACACCCAGTATGACCAGAGGTCCCAAGTTTTCTGGGACAATTCCAGCTTTATTTTCAGTCAATACATTTTGTTGAATGTATCGCAAAATGAGATTTATGCCTTTGTAAGGCTTAGATGTAAATAAATTCAGGTTCAAACAAAAGGTTTCTTAGACCATACTTCTTGAGGTTTGGTCTGAAATCATGGGACCTTAACTGGGAATGGGTTTATAGTTTTATAATGACTAACATTGGGTTCAGGGATAGGTATTTGTTGGATGTGGCTTGGGATGCCCACATCCCATACTGGAGTGCCTGGGTGTGAGTCCTGGCTCTGTTCTTCATTCTGGTTTCCTGAGTATACAGACCCTGGGAAGCAGCAGGTGATGACTGTCCCCCAGGTGGTAGATTCAGATCCCAGCTGCTAGCCTTCCCCCAGCTCAGCTCGAGCTACTGGTGGGCATTTGGGAAGTAAACTAATGGGTGGGAGAGTTCAGATTCACAAAGGACATGAGGTTCAGCGCTCATGGAAGGTCAGGGTCAGATGAGTAGTGTGGTGTCTGGGCTCAGCCAACCATTAGAAAACCACAGGATTCAAGGAGCAGGGTGAGCCTGCCACTGCACCCGACTCCTGAGTTAATAGGGAAGGGGAAAGAAAGGTGGAATTATCCACATAGTAGTCTTAAAGTTATATTGCTGTTGACATTTTTACAAAGAACAGCAGCAGTTCCTTTTGGACATCTTGCTAGGAGCAGGCCTAGCAGCCTTGCCAAAGACACCAAGAATACAAGAGGCTGCTTGCTGGGTGTACATCAGGAACCATAGCACCTTTCTAATGGGCATAGTGGTTCTGAAATCTTGCCAGTGCAGGTTCCTGTCACAGTCCTTCCCATCTGGTTCCCTTAGCAGAGTGTTCATAGGGACACAACCACAGAGCAGGTTTTGACTTGTTTGAAAAAGGCAGATGGGCCTTTTCTGTATGAAATTGAGATTTTTTTTTTACTGACATGCAGATGTGCTTTAGAGTTAATGTTTTCTACAAAAAGGTTCTATAAACAATAGAAAATTTTCTAGCATGAAGTCACAGGATGTAAAAATATTACAACACAATAAATACAACTACACCCTCCACAGCCCCAATAAGACAGAGTGGGCACAGCTAGAAACTTGGAGGGGGAACACTCTTTGAGGTCACCTTTGCAATCAGTGGAAACCTAGAGCACCATGCAGAAGAGAGAGTGGGGGCCAGTCTGCGGTAGAGAGCCACATGGCACTCCCAAGTCCTATTTCCCCAGCTCTGCCTCTTCCCATTTGTACCCTGCCTGTGGCTTGCATCGCTTTACACCTGTCACTTCAGTCCACCCTGGCTCTCAGCTCACAGAGACCACCTTGTCAATACACCTGATGAAAGACAGGCCTGTCCCTGCACTGCCAATGGGTGCACACTCTGGTTTCTGTATGTGTTAAGCCTAACTAATGGCCAGTTAGAGGCTCAGGGCCAGGTCTCATGTTTGCATCCCCTCTGCTGTCCTGGTACCTCTAGAATGGACTCACAGTACGGATTGTGATGGGAAGGCATATTTTCTTTTCTTTTGGAAATGGCCCTTGAGGAGTGAGCAGGCACCTGAAAGACTGTAAGAGTTTTGAAGGCACCTGGACTCGGCTAGTCCTAGAAAGGAGATCAGTGGCTTTGCTAGCTACTTGTCACAGATGTTGCCTCATTGGTCTAGATTTTTCTTGGATGATGATGGTTTCATGTGACACTAGATAGGGTACTGTGGCTCTTGAGCCTGAGCCGACCCTGAGGCCAGGGAAACCCTCAAGGGGTCATTCACGGGGGGTGGGAGTGACTACGTGAGCCGAGGGCAAAGAGCATTATAGACTGCCCGGCCTGGCCGGACCCTGCAGGTCCGACTTGATGCTGTGCCCAGAGTTTAGCCATGGATCCCATCGGGTGGCCAGAGTCACTCAAAGTTGAGGGAACTGACCAAATGAAGGTTCAGCACTTAGCACCAGACACTGCCCCTGTGGGTGGGACTGGGCTCCCGTTAGCCCAGCGACAAGAGGCTCAGTGGCACTTGCAGTGGTCCAGGAGATAACTCTGGCACAGTAGTGGAGGCCTGAGCCCTCGCCTGCTTGGCTAAGCCAGTTCGGCTGACCAATCATGGTGTAGCACTCCTAGTTGCCATCCTGCACTGGTATGTGCCTGCGTAGGGCAGGAGGGTTTGGGGAGAAGGGCTGCTCTAGCTTTTCTTGGAAAAGCCAACTCCAGGTAGAATGGGTGCTACCTGCATCATCCAGTCAGTGCAGTGTGTGCCCTACCTCCCTTTCTTGGTCTGTCTGTGGAATGACTGCTGACCCTGCATGGGGTCCACTCTCCAGCTTCAGACCTGGATTCTCTCTCCAGGCTGACAATGGTGAGAAGTGAGGTGGCAGTATAAGAAGAGCCTACATTAGCTACAGAGGGGGGAAAAGAGATGACAATAAAGGCCGAGGAAGGATGCCCAAAAGCTTGATTCAAGGTTCAAAGATGGTGGCCAGGCTGCCCCCCTCGCTGTCCAGCACCTCTGTCTCCAGTACTGGCTTTATCTTTTTGAAAAGGGAGGGAAGATTCTTAATGTGAACTTCTTTTCGGAACTGTTCTCCCAAGGGTTTCTGTGGAAAACAAATGAGAAAGAACTAAGGCTGGTCTGTGGGTCACAGGTTAGATGACCCCACCACCATGGCCCATGGCTACAAGATGGCTTCTGATTGGTCTGTACACATATGGACACCCAAGCTGGGCAGGGAGCATGAGGGAAGTCATGTGACCTACCCCGATGCAGCCAGCAATGAGACGTTTAAATTGGTCCTTCCGGCGCTTGTCAGCCACTTTCTGGAGGGAAGGGTTCAAAAGCTTGCAATCAAACTGGTCCAGAGAGTCCTTCTGAATCTCAGGGATTTGCTCCATTACAGCCCTTATTTCTAGGTACCTGGGGCGCTGAGAAGTAGGGATTAAACTCCCCTGATGTAGGTGAAGATCTGAAACCCACCGCTTCCCATTCCCAGCCCCACCCACCTTTCGAGTGGCATTAGCCATTTGGCAGATGCCTTGGTTCAGGGTTGACAGCAATGAGGCTGCAGCCATTCCTCCCCCGTGTCCCCCACTCACCAGCGCCTCATATATCTGGAAGGCCAGGTGGACCAGGGAGGCCATGCAGCCATCGTGCTGCCCATGTGTCTGCAGGCCTTTCAGCACACTGGTGAAGAGCCATGTGACAGCGTCAGCGAGCAGAGATCCAGACAGCACCTGGGGGAAACAGCTGTGTTCAGAGACCTAAGCCTCCCTTAAGGCTGCAGCACCCCAGGTCTTCCAAGTGGTCGGGCGTACCCCCACAAGAACGCAGGAACCCTACTTGTTTGAGGAGAGGCCAGCAGAGCTGGGTGGTTGTCCTCTGGCAAGACAGAGTATCCTTCCAGGCCAGGGAATTGAAGGCTGTGATTAACAGTGCTGTGCATACATCCTGAACAGAAAGGATGAACATTGAAAGGAAGAACAGCTTCCTCTAGCTGCTCTCGCTCATCATGAGTTAGAGGTTCAACAGGCAAGCAGGAAGATGACAAAAGCAGCCACTAAAGTCAAATGTGCTTACTTGCTCTATTTTTGCCTACCAGGCAGTCAAACAAAAATGCACATACACACACAAAAAAAACCAAAACAAAAACACCAACTCCCAAGAAAATGAATGTGTGGGATACAGACAAAACTCAGGCATCAGGAGGCCAGGCAGCAAGGTTGGAACAGTATGCCTGTAGTGGAAGCCTTGGCCAAGGTCAGCTTTGCTTTTTGTTTTCTCATCAAAAACCTTCTGATGGGCATCGCAGAGATAAACAGAAGGTGGCTCGCTGGCGCAACCAGGAGCCAAGACATCCCCTCCCTCTCCACTCACCTCATGCTTCATCAGACATTTGCCCAGGTCTGTGAGCTCTGCTGTAGCTGAGGGGGTCACCTCTGAGGACATCATCTCATCATCTGTAAGCATAGAAGGCAGCGGTCAGCCCCATTCTTTTAGAACAGGGAACAAACAGTTCTGACAGAAGCTCTGGGCTGACCAGAGGCTGAATAGCACTAGTACCAACCTCCCTCCATTCCCCGGAAGGAAAACCAAAACCCAAGCCTGTGCTGCCTGTGGTAAACCCAGAGACGTGGCAAGCTGTGCACATGGGAGGCACAGGAGCTGCTGGGCCGTGACTGTAAAGCTGCCAGTACCGGGGACCTGGAGATGTAAACATGTGAGCACCCACTGTGACAAGAACTGATTCAGTTCCTGGTGACACAAAAGGAACAGGATCAAGTCTGCTCCCAGATCTAGCGAGGGAAGACATGAATGCAGAAAAATAAAGCAGAGGAACATCGAAGAGTGGTAAGGAGCACTGATTTTGATAATTGGCTCTTGGGAGACCTCTTGGAAGAAGTGACATTTGAGCAGAGACCTGACTGGAGCAAGGGAACAAGCATGTATATGGTGTGGGCAAACCCTGCTCGAGGGTACAGCAGGGACAAGGCGTGGAGTGGGACACGTGTGGGGGACACAGCAAGGAGGCCACACATAGGACTGCAGGACAGAGGCCGTCTCACCCTCGCCAGCAACTGTCGTGGTTCACAGGGAACATCACTGGGTGTCTCAATGCAGACAGCTAAAGGCTATGCTGGAGGCTCACTCACCGTCTCCATCTGCGGGAGTGGCGGCACTGTGGTCAGCTCCTTTCTTGGAAACACAGCACACAGCTAAGGCAAGAGAGCCAGGTTACTGGATGAGGGAGGGCCTAGCCATGGCCACCAACAACCGCCACCTCCGACCAACCGATCCCAAATTCTTCTAGTCGCTCTTCAATGAACAGGGTGAAGGCAGAGGTGACTGAAGAGGGGAATGAGGTGGGATGGGGTAAAAGAAATTCCTGACAGGAGCAAATGTCTCATGTCTCCTTGGTCTACTGTGACCAAGTTCCATCTACTTCATTCAAAAACAAAAAACTGCTTTCATGTTCAAGCCTTAAAATGTTCCCTATTCCAACTTCTTCCTGCCATTTGAAACCTATTCCTGGTCTATATACTGGCCTTGGCCTAATGCAGTTCAGAATTCATAAAACATCATTAAATTGACTTAAGGCCCACCTAGCTTCTGTCCAGTTAATTAATATCAGCATTTCTATACATTTTTTCTTAATCAGTTGGGGCCTTCCTAGGGCTGGTTGAGTGACCAGCTCTGTTTTCCAGAGAATGCTTCTCTCCGCCCTGGGTCCCACGTGCCACTCACTGATCAGATCCATGACTTCGCGGGTTAGCATCCTCACCAACTGCTCCTCTAGCATCTCCTGCGACTCTGGATTCTCATCCGCAGCTTCCTCTTCTCCACTGCAGAGACCGGGGGCCAAGTGCCAAGGGAGAATGAAGAAAAGCAGTAACCCTGGCCAGACTGACTCTGCCCACTGGATGGATTCTCCTGGCTTCAAATGGGTGCAGTTTCTATGTCAATGTTGGGACTGGACAACAGTGAGCCATGTGGGATATTATCACTCGTGGCCCGGTCTGCTTGGATAGACGGTACAGGGTCAAAATCCCAAGGGAATAAGGTGAAAGTGTCTCCTGTGAAAAATCTGCCACAGCTTGTGCAGACATGCCATCCAGCACCGAGGCTAGCAATGGGTACAGTTAAGCCAGGAAAACAGCATCCCTGCAGCCCCTACCTTTCCCCACCTAAACCCAGCTGTTGGCTCCAAGCAGGAGAGGGTATTCCTTACCACAGGAGGCTCCTCTGGTTGATGATTTGCCATTTCTGGGAAAGTCTCTGAGAAAACACAAAGGAGGCACTGGATGAGAAGAGCAGACTGGACTCCCACGATCCAGGGCCCACTTTAGGACTGCACCTGGCCAGGATGACTCCTGGTGCCCAAAGAGCCTCGTTACGACCCT